GAAGCTCAGCCCTGGGCCGGAGTATCTGTAAGACTGTTTCCAGCCTTATGAAAGTGAGAAATTTCTCCCCATGGAGAAGCCTAAACGCAACCTTATTTTGTCCTTGCGATACCAGGACTTGCAATGGTGCAGAATGCAGAGAGGCAGCCGAGCTGTGTGTGCACGCACCTCTTCGCCGCTTCGTGTAGAAAGAGTATCTGATAAAAGACGCGAGCAGTAAAATTTAACCGGTTGTCTTTGGGAAATACTTACGCTGCTCCTAAGGAGTTACTATTTTTTCAAATTTAAATCTCTCATTCTGTTTTATTTTTCTTTTCAAAATTCCCAGACCAAGGGAAGCTCTCTACAGATTAGTAGACCACCAAATCTTCAGTATTTCATGTTTGGAATATGAGAGGGAGAAAATCTCTCTGAAACCTAAATATGTTCCCCCTCTAAAGACCAGACCCATTTTTGGGGAAAATATGCAAAAGTGTTCTCCTCAGGCTGGATGCTGTGTGCAGTTTCAGCTTAATGCACAGCTTTATAGCAGATGTAGAAAATAATCAAAATGGGGGGATTTCTGGGAATACTGGCAGATCTTTACTGTGACTGCAGAGCAGATCCTGACATACTATAACACTGTTTTTGTCTTAATTGTCAAAAGTAAGCTATAGAGAACAAAAATTCTTTGTTTGACAGAAAAGCAATTGCTATTTCTTGTAAAACATATAATATATTCCAGAAGACCTAAGGGTTTACTTTCCAATAAGGATAGAAAAAATGTGCGCCCCACTGTGAGCTCACAGTAAGGCTGTTTCATGTAAAAAGTTGGTAATTAGTCCCTGAGTGAATAAAGTAGAAGAGATGAGAGACTGATACTTACTGTAGCAACACAAAACACTTTTTCTAGCTGCTAGGATTTAAAGGGTGTCTGGGTGGGAGGGGGGGACCTGTTCCTACTCATTTCATTTACAAGCATCTAAACCTCGGAAAATTATTTCTTGCATTAAGCTTAAACGTGTACTTTCAGTTGTTACTAACCAATGTAAGACTGATAAGAGACATTCCAATTCTAAAAAGCAGACAGGAATGAAGCATTATATGAACGCATAAAAGACTGTTGTGCTGTACACATCAGCAGCAGATTTCACGCTCATTGTACACCGCTGCCTTCAGCAGACTTACACCAGCATTGCTTGATGTTTCACCAAATTAACTCATTAGCATTCAAAGGATCTTTATCAAAAAGGAAATACTTGGAACACTAAATCACGTACCTTTAGCCAGAGTTATATAATAAATACCAAGAACAAAAACAAACCCAAAGCACAGGAAAACCTTCTACTTACAAACCAAAGTTATTATTTAATAACATTTGTATCACTATCAGCTAAATACTAAGTACCAGAAGCAAAAATTGAATAGCATTTCTTGTTCTACCTGCAGAACTTGGAGCTACTGGAAACAACTTAATATTCACATGTTTTCCTTTGTTGTTATTCATCTGTATTAGAGCTAGAGTTTGTGATTCTCTTTCAAAAATAAGTACGTAATTTATCTTGCAACTATGTGTTTGGCAAACCTCTTTTTCAACAATATACAAAACATCATATGAGAGCTTCAGACATGACAACGGAGCTTTACACAGTGCTCTCAGCACATACCCTTTGACTTCTCTCTCTCTGTTCAGTTGGTCTCGTTTGCTTTACTGCAGCATTAATTGTTAATGTACGTGAGATGAGATCACTTGTCACAAGTCATATCCAAAAATCTTGGTTACTTCATGAAGACTCACTCCAAAATACGTAAGCGGTCATCAGATTGCCTCTACATCCCCACTATTGTGATTGCGGTCCTGGAGAGATCTACACACAGATGAATTGTGTAGTGATGTCCTAAACTGTAATCATTTGGACTATGAGTATCTGATTCAGTACAGAAACAGTCAGGAAAATTCTACATATTTTCACTGATTAACTAGTAACATCTTGTTTACAAGCACCGAGCCTCACCACAAATATCAAGAATTTGTGTAGAGGAAATACGTTAAAAGTATTTCCTCAGGCTGGACGTGGTATAGAAGCCCCAGAACTACTTTTTCTTTACTGTTAGTGTTAATTGGACTTGCTTTTACATCTGACTTCAGTGCTTATGTTGCCACATATGAGTATTTAAAGAACTGTCCGCTGAGATGAGGAAAAAAAAAACCCAACACAGACCTTCTTCCCCCATAGTTCTGCAACTTCCATGCAATTCAGCCAGGCCACGTAGCTGATGAGCGTATAGGAACACCTATACAACGCACAGGTACACCTACTGCCAGGAGCCACCGATCCTCTATATGGGGGTAATATAGATAAAATATTATGCCTCCCTTTGACTTGGAGTATGATATCAATACAGCTGAAGACAGAATGCATCTCTATAATAAACATACGTTGAATTCACCACTTTTGCAGGAAAATACAGAAAATTTGCAATTCTCAGGTTTTGTCTCTTCTTGATGTTTGTAAAAATTGATTTTGTGATGTTGCCAGTAAATATATATTCCATGCAGCAACATTTAGACAGAGAGCAAAAATGAGAATGAACCTGGTTTTCCAGGAAGTCAGAACAATTTAATCTCGCAGTACGATTCAAAACAGACAGACAGCAACAGAAAGATGCTCTTTGAATTTAAAGGGGGTTGAATCAGCTAACAGTTTCTAAAACTTCCTGATGTTTGAAGTTATTTTTAACAGGGGAAAAAAAGTTTGAAATACTGATTCTGAAATCATTATACATTTTATCTTGCTGTTTAACAGAGTTTAATCTCTAGCATAGTCCCTGTTTTCTGTGGGAATTTCTTATGTTCTAACAATTCATTCATGATTGCATTTTGCATCTGAAAGCAACCTGTTTAAAATAATTGTGATTGATAGTTGATACTGTTCCTTTCTTAACTTTGTAAAAATATGCTTAGAACACCCGATTTTTAAACCAGGTTACACTCGCTACAAAATACCTTGGGAGTTTTATGTAGGTACGTAAAATAATAAACAGCTGTATTTTGTGCGAGAAAATGCCCAGTGTAATACATGAAAACATGATTATCCAAACATCTCCGGAGACACTGGCAAAAAGACTTTGGATAAATGAGTTTGAATAGCTAAGGGACCAGGCATAGCACCTTTGAAGTTTCCAGTTCTCCTCACTCTGGATAATGCAAAGTTCAGACGACTCTCGTTGGACAGCCGTCATAATTTAAGCATTGCTAGCCAGTTCCTTAAGCCAGCTAGCAAAATTCGGACGGAGGTCATGTCCCCAGTTCCCAAACAAGCAGCACAAATCTGGGAGCCACTTGCTTCGTTTCCACAGTGAAACCGGGACAGGAAAGAGGCAGGCAGTAACCACCACAGCAGGGAACGCTCACCCCGCCTCATGCAAGAGTGAACCTGAAGTGCAGCCGGCAGCCGGCACGCTCCAGAGAGGCTCCTGCTCAAAGCCTGTAACTCAGGCCCTGGAGGCTCTGTGTGCTACCCCGGGCTGCCAATGGGATCCTTGGCATCCTTCCTGTCCTCTTGTCCTGAAGAAAATATTTGCCTCCTCCAACCGTTTCCCTCGTGTTCCAGCACACAGTTATGTGCAGGAACCAATATTTGCTCTATTTAAAGTACTTCTAGGAAAAGGTGCAGTGAGACCCGATTTACGCAGCCTCCCAGGCTGCTGATGGATTGGGGGACCAACGCATGTTCCTGTTTTGCAAAGGAAAACACTCATTTCCCCTCCAGTCAAAGGCTGGCATTTACAATGAACCAAATTCCGCCAAATTCCCCATCTCCTGTGCTCCAAAAACATCCATAGAAGAGCAGGTCTGTCTTTATTCAAAGTGAATTAGCAGCATAGTTATGCTCAGTATCACCGTGCTTCAGCATTGCAAGAAACTGTGTTACAGTACTCTGCTGATGGTATAAATGATCAAACACCAGCCAAAACAAGTTCTCCCAGCAAGAGCACTTTGATCACTTCGCTCTTTCTGCATTATAGCAGCACTCTAATTTGCAGGCTTTAGAATAACTTCTGCATTCTCCAGACATGTCAAAAGATAATGCCATCAGAGTAATTTTTACACAGGGAAGCAAATAATGAGGAGTTAATATACTGGCATTTATCTCTGACCAGCATTTCCAGAGCTTGAACTTGCTGTATAGGAACAGAAGATGATCAGAGGTAAAGTCAACAAACTGTACCTGCCTTACTGATGTAAATGCCCCTGTTGTCCAATACAAAAAAAAAAAAACAAAAACAAACACCAAAAAACACATCAGTGTTGGATTTCAGAAACCATATTCAGGTTAAAGGGCATGATTCTTATCTGGTATTCCACCCAAAGGACAATGATTTCATTTTATAAAGATCATTAGTCAGTGAAATATATATTTTAGAGAGTTTCTAGTAGGGAAGATTATTTTGGCAGTCACTGGAGTGTACCAGATGGTTCATTAACATAGGCTAGACAAGTCAAAGGCTTTCAGAATCATTTAGAAAATGTCAAACAGAAACAAGAACCCTGTCACTTTTTATTAGAATTAACTACATCATACCCTGGACACAGATTTCACCTTGGGTCAGAAAAATTAATACAGAATTATATGAATTGTGTAATATACTAGGTTAAAGATAGGGCTTCCTCTTGGGACTCATTTGCTAGCAATATATTATGGTCTTCCACTTTAGGAATCCTCAACCTTTCGTTTTGTAAGCTATGAAAAGAGCTGACCTTGCTCAGACTCCATTGGTGTCTAATTGATTTGAGGTACATGCAGAATTTCAACAAGACACTCCGCTAAAGCTCTTTTGTGATCATTTTCCCAGGAAAGTTGGCAAAAGGGTTCGCTGAATATTCAGCAGCTTGTAAAGTATGCTTTTGTCAGGAGGAAAAAAAAAACACATCCATTTACTGCAACACTGCCTTCGTAAACAGGAATTAACATGCGACTGAATTGTTGTTATTTTTTTTTTTTATTATTATCATTCAGATGTCAAAAATCTTGAGAACTTCCAGCTCGTGGAAGGTGTTCAGGAACAAGTGAATGCTGCTCTGCTGGACTACACAATGTGTAACTACCCACAGCAAACAGACAAATTTGGGCAGCTTCTCCTGCGACTACCAGAAATCCGGGCCATCAGTATGCAGGCCGAAGAATACCTCTACTACAAACACCTGAACGGGGATGTGCCGTGTAATAACCTTCTCATTGAAATGCTGCATGCAAAGAGAGCATAAATTATACCCATTAGAGCTTCTGCTTTCAAGGAAAAAAAATGTATTCTGAACTGCTCCAAGCAACACTAATTAAAACGTGGTTTTAAGACTTTGCAAAATGGTATAATAATCAAATACTAATAGTAAATAAGTGATGTATCAGGGTATTTGTATTGCAAACTGTGAATCATATGCTACACATCCCCAAAGGAATCTATCTAGGACTTCATGCTGGAGTGAAGTGAACTTACCAAGTGGATACTATCACCAATGTCAACATGAAAAAGGACAGAACGATTCTTGTATATTTAACTCTGCTGATTGCCAATATGAAGAAACTTAGGAGAAAAAAAACTGATCCGTATTATCGAGCTAAGATAGTGGGGAATTTGAGAGCACTAAATTCCTTCACTGTATAGCAGGACTTCTAAAACAGTTATAATAGGTGCAAAACCGCATCTATAGCATCTTCTGTCATCCTTCCAAGGACCCAACACTTACTTCTCCTGTGATAAATGGTGTGGCATCCATTCAACAACCTGTAAGAGAGAGCTGGCGTCGGCCACGTGCTAGGTAGCATCGCCACCAAATCCTAAGAGGCTGGTTTTGACTGCCGGTCTCTCAGGCCCGCAAATCGCTGATATGAAGAGTCTGTTATCCAGTTCGCTTGGCATTCTTGCTATGTTCTGAAGTTTGTTTTGTCACGTGTTCATGTTGTTCTATCAGGCAGTATCCCTCTTCTACTACTGTTATCGGATAGCTATTAAACAGCTAAGATAAATATTCCAAAACAAGTTAGCCAATTCAACTATATGCTTAACTAGAGCAGTGGCTAAAATATGGCTCTGCTATATATTCATGGCCATTTCCAAATAAAGGAAATGGAGAGATTTTAGCCATCACAAACAATAGCTTCTTTGGCACACACACACACAAATAATTCCAGGACATCAAATACTGATGTTAAAAACCTAAAAATAACAACAAATTTTTAGAAACGCATTTAGCGATGCAAGGATAGACAAACGAATGGTATGACCTGATGATGCCATGGAGCTTATTAAGAAATGATCTTTAAAATTGCTGGTAATTAAGAAACGAAATTTCAACTCAAACGTCCAATATCTAATGAAACTTTTTAAAGTTAGGTAATACGCATCTTCTACGCAAAGAAAGAAGAGTGATACTGCTATGTCTATGTAGGCCAAAGTCTGCTGCAGAACAAATATTAGAGAAGAACAAACAATTCTCTCTCTGTCCAGATGAAGATATCAGTATTAACATGTAGTGCCACAGTTATAAGTCTTGCCTTATTTCATTATCCTTAAAGGTAACTGCGCAGGTGTGGATCAACATACGTGTAAAATAAAGTATTAATCTCTAACATTAACAAAAACATAGTGTTTACATTCTTTAGGTCCTGTGGGGAAAAAACTGTGATAAAATTGCAGAGCAGTGATTTCCTTATTATTTCTTTTAAATTGGTAATTATTTTACCAGTACTTAATTACTGTATGTCGTGAGACACTAAAATCAATAGGGGTATTTCATTTTGACTTTAATTTTTGAGATTTTCAGCTGCACAATCACTTGTAGAAACTGTATAAAATCCTAATCCTTTAATTTTTTTCATGAAGATTGGTAGCTTTTGAATAGTTTATTTATATTGTATATGATAGTTTCCACTGTAGACAATTATGATGCTAATTTATTGTTCTTTGGTTTCATCTTTGTATAAGATATAGCCAGAATGAAGAAGCCAAATATATGTGTTTACTGTAGCATGTCTTCAAGTTAGTGGAACATAGTTCAGGGACACACAAGGGTCTTTACAAATTAAAATCATTCACTTGATTAAATGTCTGTAAATCTTCATAATCCTAAATGTAGTTTATTTAAATCTATTGTAAATTATGTGAGTTATAGCTTTTTCTGTTTCATGTGAACTTGAAAAGGTGCATTTCGCTTATTTTTTTCCAACCATTCATACATTGTATACCAAAGACATCGGTTATTACATCTGCATTAGCACAAAGCACACCATTTTAATCGCCTCTATTAATCGGCTCTAACATTCTGTCCATGCACAGGGTACAAACACAGCAAAGCCTAGTGTCTGCGACTCCTAGATGCCTGTCTTATATCACAGAACACACGTACTGCCGTACGGACCAAAAGCAAACCAAGCACAGCTCCCTTAGTCGTCCCACACAGCAGACATGCAAGCATTATTTAAATAACAGCGTTCTCCCTCAAACAGACTAAATTAACAGAAAGTAAGGTGTGGGTGGCAGTTGGCTGTGAAATACGTATACCCACGTGTACAAGATAAGTGTGGTCATTCCTTCCTTCTTAACAGAAAAACAAAGCATATTTCAAGTGTTTGCATTTGTATTTTCTCTTTTTTTCTCTGTTGAAACGCTACAGTGACTCTCACTGAATATTAAAGAAAAAAGCTTCAGAAAAGGTTGCTAACTGTATTCACAGCACCATTATCTATGTACGGGACAAAAGAATTAAAATAAGGTCATAGAAGAAAAGAAGAATGTTTCATACAGTTTAATGGAAGCAATTTCAGACAAACATATATTTGCCCACATCTGTCGTTCCGAGAATCCCACCAGATTGCCCAAAGTACACGAGCAAAAAAAAAAAAACCCAACAAAAAAACAAAAAATCACCAAAAAAAACCCTCATGTTAATTGTTAACTACTCTGTAACCAGACATTTACTTCTGACTGCCTTATTGATTACAGGACATATTAGCAAAAGCAGACTGAAATTCAAAGGGTTTGGCTTTGACTGGTTTATTATAGTTGTTCTGTGTTTGTAAACAGACAATCTGTAAAGTCTGACTATTTGTATTACAGATGTTCTGCAGCTGCCTTGGATTTAAATCCATGCAACTCTTAGAATGTGCAGTGAGTTACTTGTTGAAGTTGAAGTTCTCTTACTGTATCGGTGAAATACATATTGTCATGTCAGTTCTTGCCAGGAGTTTCTCATCGCCAATGGAATTTTTATTTTTTTTTTCAGTATTTCAATAAATATTGATATGCCCGTGCTGATTACTTTATAATTGTCTTTATAACAACATCGCTCCACCGAAACGAAGCACCAGTCAAAAATCAGTTATTCAGAAGAGGAGAGTAAAATGCAGGAGAAATAAGAGCGCCAAGGAGAATTTGACGTAGAGCAGAAGACAGAAATGTGGAGAGCGGCACCTTCAAAAGCTCAGACCGCGTGGGCGAAATTGCCTGGGCTGAAGCAAAATAAATACAGCTAAACAGATCAGAAAAGCTGAATCTCTAATCCAAAAGGAATTTACCAGTTAATACTTACAAATTAATACATTTCATCTCATACCGCACACAATCTTCGCTTTACATGTTACCCATAAAGAGTTAAGCAGCCAAAGCATCGGAGGGGGGGGGAAATGACAGAACAAAAGAAAATCAGGTAACAGGATCCAGCGGAGCTCAGGATAACCTCTCAGCAATGTAAATAACGCGGCAGGGCCAGGGGCAAACCCCGCAGCTTCAACACCACTGCCGGCGGAGGCTGCCAAGGAGACAGATGTTACTGCTACTAATATTTTCCTAAAGTTGCCCTCTGGCTCATCTGATTGCCGATTGCCGAGCAGGAGGTGAAGCCAATGTAAATAACGCGGCAGGGCCAGGGGCAAACCCGCAGCTTCCAACACCACTGCCAGCGGAGGCTGCCAAGGAGACAGATGTTACTGCTACTAGGGAAAAATATTTTCCTAAAGTTGCCCTCTGGCTCATCTGATTGCCGTTTCGAGAGCAGGAGGTGAAGCGGTCCAAGAGAGCTTGTCAGCAGTACCCTACTGTTTTGAGACCAAGTCCACCGCTCCCCCTGAACTGCCCGGTAGTTGAAAAGGGGCTCTTCTCCGAGGTGCCAAATGCAGTGCTTCAAGAGGGAAAAACAGGGCTATAATTAGTTATCTACAAATCCTGTGCTTGAACGAAACAAAGCTGGTTCAGTGTCGCAATAAAAACAGAGTAAAACAAATAGGATTCGGTGGCTTACAGGTGAGGAAGGATTATTTTAGCTTTTAGGAATCGTAACTGAAACCCATGATTTTGCGTAAGACCCAGGGGAGATTTCAGGGTTGATATATGTTAGATAGTTTTTCTTACGAGACATATATTTTTGGGCGATACATTTAATATATACACTATGCATTTAAATTATGAGGGCATTTATTTTTAACTTGAGTTTGACACTGGTTCTGGAACAATCTGCTGTATGTTTTTATTGGAAACATGGAGTGAGTTCAATGTAACACAGGTCAAGTCAGTACAATACTTAGTGATCTTGACAATTTCCTGGAATACTGAACAACGCTTTTTATTAACCCCTGGTTCGAAGACCATAGTCTAGACACATCACAAAAGTTCTAACAATATTTCTACCTCCTCCAATATAGTTGCTGTTGTTTTCCAGGGAAATTCTATATGTGTGCATCTGCTGCACTCTGGAATTTGGAATGGCAGACAAAGAGAATTAAATTAATGGCAAGCCAAGAAAATTACAAGTAAATTTTTAGCGGCATGAGATCCTAGTGCTATATAACCCAGGGATGCTGGCATGAGCCCAAACACTTCTGTGCCAGTCCAGCAATTTCAGTTGCATGTAAGCCTGTAGAGAAAAGATTCATTTTCTAAGGGCAATTTGCCAACACTATGAAAAACCTTTGCTAAACGATAAAGGCAGAAGAGGGCCTGACCCTCAGATGGAGCACAGACGTGCCTACCCTGATATCAGTGGACCTAAGCTGAAGAGAGCAACACTAGAAGCTACTTGATAGATATAGTCTGTTCCAGCACACATCAGTGGGACAAGACAAAGCTTCCCTCCAGCAAACATACTTTCCAAACCCCTTATTTTTGCTCCTCTGCAGAACAAAACCCTCTCCAATTTATTGACAGTCTTGAAGTCTGGCACGCAAGCTTGGACTTGCAATACTAGGTGAGTTTTCACCATTGCCCCAAGAAGATCCTGGCCCTTATTTCCTATTCACTGTAATTTCCTTCAGTCCTAGACTCACTATCAGGCTTATGGCAGTTTCTGCGATGTATGTCCTGTGCACACCCAAGTGGATAATCCAGATGCAA